GGAAAAACATGACAGACGAAGAATATCTTCCAGAAACTTGCTATGATGCAAGAAAAAGTTGTGACCAAACACTTCACTGTAAACAAACAATTGAAAGAAGCCAATACTTACCTGAAGCGTGTTCAGAAAGCAGAGAACTAGGACCTCAAGAAAGATATGGCCAGGAGGGAAGGGGGGATGAAATGTGATCTGACAGAGCTCAGGAGAGACAGAGATAGTGAAACTCACGGAGATAACAGCAAGATTGCCAGGCACACAGGGAGACCCACAGGCACCAAGAAGGAAGGAGGGGAAAAAATGACTTGGCAATGAAGAATTAGAAAGGAATAAGCAGGAAAGAGTGAACTGAAATACATGTAAAGGAGATTAAGCATATGTCTGTTTAGAGTCTCCTAAAAACTACTAGCATAAGAGAGGAAGGAAAGTGAGCGGTAGCATAAGCATTTTGATTTCCGTCATCTAATGACTTGGAGCTACAGTTGCAAGGGAAGTACTTAGAATTATACTTAGAGATCAAAAAATTAGAAGTTGGAAGGGAAGGACGAAAGGGGTAAAGAAGAGGAGATACACCATTGTAACAAATTAGTAGAAATTATCTACATAGAGGGATGCAAGGTATCTAAAAGGTATTATTTAAAGTTATAGTTATAAACTTAAAACTAGGACAAAAATACAAACCTTCCTAATTATCAGATGAAACACACAAAACATAACAAAGCAGACAAACACCATAGTGAAAGATTTTGAAAGAGTGATAAAGAAGCATCGATAAAATAATGCAGCAGAACTAAGACCAAGGTTCTCTGTCACCTTAACAGGTATAATTGTAGTAAAGTCATCCAATACGGAAAAAAGAATTTTAGAATGGATCACAAAGTCAAACCCAACTTTATTTATATATGAGACTTCTGAAACAACGTGACACAAAAAGGATGAAAATAAAAAGATGGAAGAAAGGTATAATGAGTCAGATGCAAACAAAAAGAAACCAGGGATCATGGTCTAAATATCAGAAAAGGCTGAACTCCGAGCAGAAAGGATTAAATGAGACAATTATGGGCACATTCTGATGCTGTGTGATACGATTCACAACGAAGATATGAAAGCTCTGAATCGGTGCCAAATGCAATGCCACCAGCATTCACAAGGCAAGAATGCAAGGGCTGTAAGGTGATAGAGAACTGTAGTAGTAACGGGAGATTTTAACTCACTGCTCAGCTCATGATAGAGTAAAATGATAGGCAAGGCTAGAGGTGCCTAATTAAAGTAATGAATAAGGTAGAACTAATTGATACACCCTGCACTCCAAGCTCTGAATACAGAGGATACACCTTCCATTTAAGTGCCCAAGGGACAGTCATAAAATCGAGCATTCACAAGAACCTCAATAGACTCCCTGAGGTAGAAATGACCTAGCGAGGATGATGATGAAAGTACATAATGCTGGGTGCAGTAAGGGCACTTTCCCATCCCACTGGCTCCAGTTCTGCGTGGACAGGGGCCAACCACGTTGGTTGGTATACACTAGCGAATGTCACCCCTGAATGCAGACAGTGTTCTGCGGGCACAGCGCAATAACGTAGAAATCTGTAACAAACCCAGGAAACAAGGGCCTTCACTGCAGCAAAGCTCTTCTCTCTGGTCAGAGCAGAAGTCCAAACCAAATTAAAGACTATCTGGAAGATAACCATGAAGAACACTCCATAATGATCTACGGTATGGAAGAGAAGGGCTAAGAGGAAAAGCTTAGCTGTAAATAAATACACTCAGGTATCCTTTGCAACAATGGAGGCTGGGAAGTCCCAAGATCTGCAGCTGGCAAGCTGGAGACTCGGGAGAGCTGGTGGTTTACGTTCCACCCTGAGTCTGAGTCTACAGACAGGAAGAGGCTGATGTCCCAGCTTCAGGCAGAGAGCACAGACTCTCCTGCTCAGCCCTTTTGTTCTATCCAGACCTTCAGTGGATTGGATGAGGCCCACCCTCATAGGGAAGGACAACCTGTTTTACTCAATCAAATGCAAATGTAAATGCAAATGTTAATCTCATCTAGTCCAACTGTTAATCTAATCCAGAAACTCCCTCACAGACACACCCAGCATCATGTTTACCCAAATATCTGGGAACCCTGTGACTCAGTCAAGTATAAGCATAAAATTAATGATCATAGCTAAGGGACATATACTTTCTGAACAAATGGCAAAAAATGATTTTAGTTGGAAGACTGAAAAAGAATTTACACGATGTCAATTCTCCTTAAATTTATTTATGAAATGAATGCCATCCCATTAAAAATATCAACAGGATTTTTTTTTTTTTGGCATTTGATAAGCTGATTCTGAAATTCACAAGGCAACGTGCACAAGAAAGAGTAGCCAGAATATTCTGAAGAGAAGCCCTAGTATGTCCTAAAATACATGACTGAGCGCTGAGCTGCCTCTTCAGCCTCGCCCCCATTGTCCTCCATCTGTTTTTGTCCTTCAACCTCACTGCCTTCTCTCAGATCCTTGATCACACAGGCTATACCCCTATCGTAGGACCCTTGCTTGGACTTTTTGCCATTTGAATGATGTGCTGTTGTTCCTGCTTCAGTAAGTTTTGCCTTTTTAATTCCTACCTAATCAGAACTTCTTTAGAGACATCTTTCCTTTCTTTCCTTGTGAGAGGGGAACTCAAGAGTTAAAGATTTTAGCTTCAGTCATAGTTGATAGGCTTAAGTGGTTAATGCAGGTGGAACAAACTATTATTCCAGGAACTGGAATGCATGACTCTAGGAAGTCGACCTGCAATCCAACCTTTGTGCCCTAGGGAGTCTGGAGATGGTATCTGAGCCTGATGTTTCAGGGGGGGAACATCTGTGATGTGCAGGTAAAGAATTGTTGATCAACAGATAAAGAAGTGCTAGGAAAATTGCAGCACCTCCTTTCCAATTAACCTTTTTTTCCAAACCCCTTACCTACCCTTTCTTCTCCTTATAAAAAGGTTGGCTTGAGGTGAGATATTAGGGTTTTTGAGGGTACATACATAACTCGCAGTCTTTTCAGATTACCAACATCTGTGTAAAGTGCCTATAAAGATTCAATCCTTGTTTCTACTTATTTGTTCTGTGAACCAGTGACAAGCAGCACAAACGCCAGCTTTTCTGGTTTCATTTGCATTCATTTCAGTTTGTAATTATGCAGTTATTAATATGGTTTTCCTTTGAATGATGTTTTTCTTATTAGACTGTAAACTCAGTGCCTAACCCCAGAGTAGGCTTTCAGTAAGCATTTACTGGTAAATAATCTCCAGTCTGTGGACAATGACCTAGCTAGCATCAGTCTTGGAAACTCAGTAACCTAGTCTCTTCCAGTGTCAAAGGTAATGACATCTTCACGTGTAGTTTTTTTCACCAATGGACATTTGAAGATGTTCATGTTTCTGGTAGTGTTCTGCGTTTGGCTGCAACCTCCTAAAATGAAGGGCCGTATCTGAACTGTCTTCTGTGCCTCTGAATATTATGTCCAATGGACATGATATATTTTCATAAGAAGGAGATGCAAAATGATGGTATGAGTATATCATTGCCTAAAAAATGATGTTAGTCATTGGAAGAAATAATCATAGCAATTCAAGAACCTATTTTCTTAATGAATTTTATAAATTGTATGCCAAACACAACTAGAGATCCAAACTCTCAAAGAGATCTAGGTCCTCACGCATGGCAGATTTTAGAAACTATTGCCCTGGTGGTCAGGGCGGAGAGGCTCCTTTTGAATGCCACACGAGGTTAAATGGGATGTGGCTCTCTTCTTAGGTGCAGTTAAGCTTCTTATGTCTTCTCCCCATGAGTACATACCTACCATCTTCTTGGCTATGTTGTTATTGGCAAACGTTGGCTATTACTAAGTGCACTGAAGGTTTTGTTTGGCATTTTGTGGACTGAAACGCTCTAGCCATGACGACGCTTGTTGAAAAGTTAAGAGCTTTAGAATGACTTTTGCATTCATGAGTATTTCCAAACAGTAGTCTCTGGCAGCTGAGTGGCTGGGCAGTCATAAACAGGTTTTACTGGTGTGTCCCTGGAGGCCACTCAGATAATTCCAGGAAACCCTCCTTTATGCGACCTCTTTCTTGTTCCTTCAGAAATGAGTGGCTTTCTTGTATGCCTTTCTCAAAGACCACAGACCCTGGAAACTCCACAGAGGTGGCTGTGAATATGTGTTCAAGCTCAAGGGAGAGGCGTTAGGGCGTTAAGACAGAAACAGAACCAGAGGTTGCAGGCTGTGACCTACAGGCCAAAGCCATCAAATCTGCTCTGCAGATGTGCTTATTTGGGTCAAATGGTATTTCTTTTTTAGTTGCCAAGCTGCAAAACTGGGATTTTTTTTTTTTTCAAGGAGTCTGAATATATGACTTGTCTTGAAAATTGAAACAGCTTGGCCAGGCTGGGATCCATATTTCTGCACTGGCAGCCATCAGTGGAACGGAGGGCTGTCTCCTTGTTGGGGGAGGAGGGAAGGGGCAAGGGTTCCTCAGGTGCCACTAGGCCGTCTCTGGTCTCAGGCATTCACCTGAGTCACCTTCATGACCTGGAGAGAGGCTGTGAGGTTGAGAATACACGGCACAGTGAATAATTACGAAGGAGCCTGCCTTCTAGTTTCTCGTGATGTCCCACTGTGCCTCTTCTGGCTGTTCCTTGTTGACCGAAGGTTCCGGTCAGAGCTCAAATAGCATTTAAGTCGGTGGGGTCGGGGGTTGAGGAAAATCTCAAAACTGACAAAGGCCAATTCTCAAATGCCATCCTGGGGGAGCACATGGTTCATTCCTGGGCTGCATCCTGCCTCCTTCAGCATTTGGAGAATGAGAATGAAATGATCTGAACAAAACACTTCTCCGGGTAGTGTTTTCAACACGTTTGGACTACAAAGAACGCGTCTGTATTTAATCTTGCTCTGCACAGCTGCACAGAAAAGGTTGTTTTCACTCTTCTTTATATTTTGTCTTTTGGGGAACGCTATCAGGAAATTTACGAGCATCTTTTGGAAACCCCGGTCACTCGGGAGCAATTAAACCACTATCGGAATGTGGCTGAAAACGCCCGAAGTGAACTTGCAGCAACTTTGGTCAAATTTGAATGTACTCAGTCTGAGGTAAGATTATGTATCTTCATAACTCAGAAAGGGGACTTTTTAACTTCTTGTAGAGTAAAGCAGAGCACTGAAGTGATTATAAACAGAACAGCGGGAACTTTTGCAAAGTTTATACTTATTTTCTTACTGTATGCCTACCTCCTAGTTGCAGAGAATTCCCGAAAGGTTATGCATTTGTCATGCTGCACAGAGAGATGATGTGGGCTGGATTCTAGATCTCAGAGATGTTCCACAGCCTTGAGAGACCTGGGGCACCTGAGCACTTTGGGTTGAAGCTGCCTGGGCTTTGGAAGACTATTAGCATCTCTTGGAATATGTCCCTTTACTGTGGATTGCTTATAGCCTGGGGCTCATAGGATGGAATTCTAAATACCTGTCTTGTGATAGTCCTGATTGGCTGGGGGAAATTCTAGGAAGGTGACTGGAATCCACCTCCCCCCTGGACTGGATCACGTCTGTTGTGGAAGTTCTGAGAGAAGCTCTTTAGACCCACTCTGCTCACAGCCTGGTGGCCCCGTGGGGCCTCGGTGTAACTGCGAGGTAACCGTCGGTTTCACTCGCCTGCCAGGACCTCGCTGAAAGATGAGTTGGTAGTGTGTGTGGGAGATGGATAGACAGAATAAATGTGTGATGCATGCTCCCAGTTCCTAAGAAGTACATGTGTTCATATCGGTTTCTGAAACAGTGGACTTGATAACTTAAAAGGGCACATACATCATTCCGCATCTTGATACCACAGAATTCATAAAAGTTAAAATGTTTCCTTTGTAAAAATCCTATAATGACCTTTTTTTCTCCCATATTTTCCCCAGAAATCTAAATATTATTTTTCTTTATCACTTACAGTAAAGGTCCAGAAGGCAAGTGGGAGAAATAGAGTGATATAGCCAATAGCCTGTATTTACTTGGGAAATGGTTGTGGCCATGAAATTACAAATACCTTGTAGGTTCCTCGTTTCATTTCAGCAGTTTTAGAAAATGGGTTGGCGTTGCAAAATATTTTATTGCCTTTTGCAAAATAGACCACAAATGTCTCCTGAGTGAGACTAAATTACCATAAGACATTGCTCAATTGGTTTTGGAAAAAAAAGAAAAAACAGAGCAAAACAGAACATGAAGTCCATTATTTAGGGCATAATTTCCCATCTGGTAATAAAGATACAAATATGAAAAAAAAAAGAAAGTAAAGGTGGATTAAGTCATGAATTAAAGAGTGAAATTTTAAATTACGTTTTGGGGTTTCGTAAAAGTACTTGAAACTTATGCCGTTGAAATCCTTTTTGTCTTTTTATTTCTTTTCCATGTTAGCTTCGAGACCTCCGATCCAAAATGCTTTCTAAAGAAGTCTCCTGTCAAGAATTGAAGGCTGAAATGGAGAAGTACAAAGAGAACAATGCCAGAAAATCATCTCTCCTCGCCTCTTTGAGAGACAGAGTTCAGGAGCTGGAGGAAGAATCGGCAGCACTTTCCGCATCTAAAATTAGGACGGAAATCACAGCTCACGCCGCAATCACGGAGAGCCAGGAGTTAAAGAAGAAAGTTGTAGAACTAGACGAGAAATTACAGTAAGGGCATTTCAATATATTTCTTAGTCGAGTTAGTGTTAAAATACTAGCAAGTGATAGCAGGATGTGCCTTTAGAAGCTCTGGAATTTTGCATTATTTTGTCTTGATACCTGATTTGAAAAACAAATTATTGACCTCAGATACGTATGGAGTCTTGAAATTTTTTCCCAAGTTCATTTCTAAAGGTCACCAAGAGTCTTAACAAACACAGCATCATCCTTTTTTCTGTCCTATTCATTAGGGCTGCAAATGCTTATATATATAATTTGGAAAATTTCCCCTAAGCAGAGGTTTAACCAGAGGTAGGGGTGATGGAGGTCGTGCACGGAGGGAGGCATTAGTTCAGAAGCTACATATAAAAATACTCCGGAAGCCCAGATCACCCCAAACACTGCTCGCTGGGTTTTATTGCCCGTCTATGCAGAGAATTCACGAATCTAGGTTTTCCACACTTGGCTCAGGCAAAAGATGATTATCGAGACAAAATTTTGCTGTGTATAATGCACATTGTTTTGCCCAAACTTCTGAGGGAAAAGTAAGGATACATGTTATGCATGGCAAAATATGGTAGTTGTTCTTAAAATATACTTTTAAAATTCTACATGCAACAACTTCATTAAGAAAATACTTGGTATTAATTTGGCATATTCCATCTTGCGGGGGAAAAATCCAACACTTCTAGTTCTTGTCCCATTTCTCCTTCCCCTTGTAGGAGAACTTAAAATGTTTTGTACGTATCCACTCTCCCAACTTCTTTCCTCTCTCCTCCCCGCTTGAACCTGCTCCACTGAGTCCACTCACTAAGCTGACCAATGACCACACATTGCAGATTAAATGATTTAATCTTTAGTTGACTTGCTATGAGTTCATCAGTGGCAGTTGGTTTCTCCCTGCAGCTCTGTCTTCGTTTGGCTTCTAGGACATGCTTGCTCGTGCCTGCTCCCCACCTGACCTTTCTAGCTGCTTTGTCGTGGTCTCTCTGGCTTTTTCCTTCTTATCTTCTTGACTTCCAAACATTGGAGTGCCCCAGGGCTCAGTCCCAGAATCCCTCTTTGTTTCTAAGCCCACCCTCTCAGTAATCTCATCTAGTCTGATGACTTTAAAATGATCTAAATGCTAGGGACTCCCACATTTCCATATCTAGCCTGGATCTCTTCCCAGAACTCAAGACCCACATATCTTACTACCTACTAGACATCTACACGTGGATGTCCAACAGGCACCTCAAACTCCACTTGTCCAGCACTGAGTTCCTGGTGTTTCCACAAAGTCCTCCTACATATTTTCTCATCTCATTTAATGATAATTTGTTCATTCTGCTAGTTGATCAAGTCGGAAAACTTGGATCATTATTGGTTCTCTTTCTCTTTCATACTCCCTGTCTAACCCTTCAATAAATCCTATCATCTATCTCTGCCATCAAAATATCTAGTTCTTGACAACATCCCATTGACACCCTCCTTGCCACTAACCTGATCCAAGCCACCATCGTCTTCCACCTGGGTTGTTATAGTCGCCTCCCAAGTGGTCTTCCTGCCTCTGCCTGTGCCCCACGGGGCCAGAGTGATCCTGTTAAAACCCAAAGTAGATCCCATCAGTCCTCTGCTCAGGACCCTCCAGCTTCTGTTCTCTCTCAGGTAAAGGCACTGTTTCCTATGATCTAAAGGGCTGATCCTGACCTCCTGTTGCATCCATTCTCTGCCTTATTCTTTCTATTCCAGCTCTCAGACATCTCTGCTGACCCTCAAATGCACCAGGCATGATCCTGCCCCAGGACTCTTGCACTCGCTAATCCCTTTTCCTAGAAAGCTTGTCCCCTCAGGCATTGCAGAGCTGCCTCTGCTCTGCCTTTAGGTCTTCATCAAAAGTTCCCTTCTTGGTGGGGCTTTGTGAGTGACCACACCTAAAATGTTACCCCGCTGCCCCCAAATATATCTTACCCCCTCTACTGCTTAATTTTTTTCCCTAGCCCTTTTATAATATACTATACATTCTATACACATTAATATTTTGGTTATTGTTTGTCTTCCCAACTAGACCATAAGCTCCATGAGGGCAAGGATATGTGTTTGTTTACTACTATATCTTTAGCACCTTTAGTAGATCCTGATGCTTAGTAGGTGCCCAATAAATATTTATTATATAAATGAGTAATAAAAATGATTTATGTTCATTATAAAATTTTTTAAAATATAGAAAAATGCCAAAAAGAAAATTGAAATCAAAACCTTATGATTCTCAAAAAGCTGTAGTTAACATTTTGCTGAACAGATTTTCAGACAGTTGTACATAAATGGCATCACGTAATGAACAATTTTTACTGAATAATATTATTGCTATTGTAGGAAGTCATTCATTATATCATTTTTAAAAAGGGTTTTATTTATTTATTCATTTTTAGAGAGAGGGGAAGGGAGAGAGAAACATCAATGTGTGGTTGCCTCTCATGTGCCCCCAAATGGCGATGCGACCCACAACCCAGGCATGTGTCCTGACTGGGAATTGAACCGGCGACCCTTTCATTCACAGGCCAGCACTCATCCACTGGGCCATATCAGCCAGGGCCATTATATCATTTTTAATGGTGATGGTATTCCATTGCTTGAAATATCATAATTTACTTAATCAGTTTTCTTTGCCATTTCTTGTAGGTATTTAGGTTAGTCCCACTCAAAAAATTATTCAAAACCAAGATGCAATGAATATCCATGTACATTCACATTTCCACATTTTGGTGATTATGTCCTTAGGAAAGACTCCTGGAACTTTGCTGGCTCAAAGTGAAATGCAAATAGAAGTGGAAAATAGTTTAGAAACCCTTAGAATAGAGAAGTAAGTTTAAAATCTTGGGGTTAGCGTATGGACTCTTTTATATAAATCAATCAGAGACATACCATTAATTGTACATTTCATGAGTCAGAGAGACTGAATAAATATTACCTTTCTCATGCTGAAAATAAGAATGTAGAGATATATTGATGTCGGTCTTTTATTGTTATACATTTTTCTAAATAGAAATATGATATGCTTTTGAGTCTGTGCAATTACGTGCTTTGTTAATCTTTGAATAGCATGAAAGAATATGCAGTAAACGCTCAACATGGCAAAAAGGTAAAGCAATAATCATGTTTATTATCTAGAGTACTGAAAAATGATACCAAATTACTGAAATGACTCTAATTTGCCTTTAAAATGTGTCTATTTTTTGATGATTTCATAGTCTCTAGCAGTTAAAGCATGAGAAACAGGCTGTGCTATCTCAGCAAACCGACCAGAGATTTGAAATCAAGTAAATATTTGTAGCAGAGGATAAATGGACCGATTTTCCTTGACTGGCCCCTTCCAATGCAGAGTTGTGCATTAAAAACTCTGGGTATGTGAGAAGTAATAATGACCTTTGCTGAATGATGAAGTACCTCTTTTCTGGAGAGTGGGAACACCCCCTGCTTCTGATGTATTTTTTTTTATTATGGTTATCCTAGGCCATGAACTAGGGGATACCAGAACTAGCCCTTATGGATCATTGAAAAGAAAATAAGTGTGGTCCCCTGGAACCAATGTAGCAGCACTGTCCTGCTTCCCCTTGAGGCCCCAACAGGGACCCATGGTGTTTGGCTCCATGTGGCAACCAGAGGCCTTTCTGCCACGTGTGCAGATCCTAGAAGGTTGGGGACAGCAGACAGAATCCATCCCCCTTGCTGTTACTAGGTCCAAGTTGCCACGAAGATTTCCTGACATTTTTGCAAAGTGTGGATGCCCCAGAGTTGCTTCTGCCTTCCTCCTTCCTTCACAGCACTGGCGTGATGATGATTCGCTGTGTCTGGGAAACCGTGTTGTGTTCAAAGTGATGGTTTCCCAAGGGGAGCTTAAGTTCTGGACTTCGTCTGACGACTGTTATGGTGCTAAAACTTGACTAATAATGGCCTTTGCTGGACTTCCTATGATCTAAAGCGCTGATCCTGACCTCCTGTTGCTTCCATTCTTTGTTATGTGCCTGATAGGAAGTGTTTAAAAGAAAATGAGGAGAATAAGAATCAAGTCTCAAAGAACTGCAGAGAACATGAGGAATTTACAGCTCAACTGCGTGACTGCTTAGATCCAGACAAGAAGAATGAAAAGACATCAGATGAAGATTTAATTCTCAAGGTGTTTGTGTGAATATTAAAACGACTATGTAGCTTTAGGGGTCATTTTGACATGTGCTGTGAAAAGAAGAGCAGTGGCTGAGTCTGGGAGTAGTGAGAGAACGGGGCATGGCCCGAGCGTGGCATTAACCGAGTTACTGGGACAAAGGGTGTCGCCTCTCTGAGCCTCAGTTCCAAGATCCTTTTTAGCATTATTTGGGATTAATTATTCTTCTGAAAGAATGAATGGTTTTTGCCTAAAATATATTTAGTTTGTCAAATACAATTAATTATTCATTTTAATGGTATGTTGTAGGAAGATTTGTTTGTTTGTTTGTTTTGAGTTAGGATAGAAACACATATACATGCAACCAAAAGCAAAAACAGTTGTGTGTCATTTTTGGAATACTTGCTGAGTATAAGTTTAAGATTAGTTTTAAAGTCCTTTTTAATATTACATGAGAGCCCCAGAATAAAAATCCTGCTTTGGGGGCAAGTTGCCCTCAAGATGGAGTTAATTGTACTGACTGAATAATTCACATGGTCCATCGTGAGTCACTAGGGCACTGGAGGTATTTGACCACTCGCGATATCTTTGCTTCTTTGTGTCTAAGCCTTTCATATCCTTACTTCCTGACAGATTCCTATGCAGCCATTCCTTTTTTGAAAAATAAAATATATTGATTTATTTTTAGAGAACGGGGAAGGGAAGGAGAAAGAAGGAGAGAATCATTGATGTGAGAGAGAAACGTGGGTCAGCTGCCTGTCACATGTGCCCCAGCTGGGGACTGAACCCACAGCCCAGGCCTGTGCCCGGACTAGGAATTGAACTGGAGACCTTTCACTTTGCAGGACGATGCCCAACCAACTGAGCCACAGCCATTCTTAAAGGCCACCTCTCAGTTTTTTTTATTAATCTGCTTCCCATGAGTCTGTGAAAGCTGGCAGTGTCCTACTTCACTGATGGGTGGCTGAGGCCAAGTCAGCCTGCTACCCTAGAGGGCAGGATGCATCTCCCCCTCCTCCTCCCTGTTGCTAACCTGTGACCAGGCCCCTGGCTGTGAAAGTCCCCCTGGAAGTGGAGTTGGGGGAAGTCTTTAAAGCCAAGTGGTGGGAAAAAGAAAAGCAAATCAAGGAGTTCTTTTCACATCACCCTTTCCCTGCGGGTATTAACCACGCCTTCTTATTGTCCGTCTTTCCGATGCTTTGCCTTGCGGGGTCTGGCTGACCTGGGGGAGACTGCCACTCCCAAGGCTGGCCAGCTCCCAGCCTGGGAGCTCCGCTTTCACCTGCCAGCCAGCCACTCCAGGGCCCGCACCCCAGCCCCTTCTGACCACGTCCCAGTGCCAGGTGCCAGACAACTGGGGCAGCCCCGGGGGCGCCGCAGAACCTGCTGAAATTATTCAAAGTAGCTCATCCTAAGTCTGCTTCTCCTACTGCATCCAGGTTTCCCCGGCCCCTCTGCCTCCTGTCCGCCCCTGGTGCTTCCCCACGTGGCTCTGCAGGGCATGCTGTGCCTTCCCCTTGGGAGCTGATCTGTCAGCCTCACCCTGCCTGAATCATAACATAACCTATAGTTTAAAACAGATATGAGGTCCCTGGAGCTTTAGCCTCCCAATTACTTGAGTAGGTACCTATTTTCTTTCTTTCTTTCTTTTTTTTTTTTTAAATCACAAGAAGGCTGCTATCTGCATCAATACTCATGAGGTGTTCCCTTGAGAAGTGGGGCAAAACCACCCCTTCAATTTAAAAATCATTGACTCTTCTGGACTTCGTGCCCCGCTGGGCACACACCATCCCAGGAATCGCGGTGGAAGAGGAGGTGTTTCTAAGAAGTTAGTTGACAGTCATTCATCCATTTCCCACATGTTCTCTGACTACTCGATGCCAGACACTGCTCTGGGTGCTGGGGATACAACGGTGACCCTGACAAGGCTAAGTCCGGGCCTTCCTAGAGCTTTCATGGTTGTGGGGTAAAGATGAGGAGGGAACACATATCCGGTACTGTCCCCCACAGAACAAGGTGCAAGGGAGGGAAACCAGTCAGGGTGGGGGATACCCAGTGAAGCCAGTGAGAGGCGTGGGGTGCTGATTTGGGTAGCCTGGCCCATGAGCGCCCCTCTGAGGTGGGGAGTTTTGAAGGATGTTGAGGGGTGAGCATTCAAATATTTGGAAAAGTGTTCAGGAGAGAGGGCCGCCCCGAATGGGGAGCAGGGCACCATGTTGGCAAATTGCCGAGGCCAAAGATCTGTCCCTTCCCCCAGGAGTCCGAACCCACGCCTGGAGCCTGCCAGCCCGAGCTCAGGTCTTCTTACATTGGCCCGGACGAGCGGCCAACTGAGCAGGAGCCACGCAGGCCTGGCTCCCTGGGGCCTCTCTCGTTTATTCCCCGTCTTTGTAAATCTCACGAACCTTACAGATGCTCCCAGTTAACTCACATGCACGACGTCGAGCCCAGAAAAAAAAGCCCTGCCCACCCCAATGATAAGCACTGTTTGAGGGTGTCACTCAGGGCTTTTCTAGGCTTATATCAATTAGGGGGATTTTTATTGATTTATTGATTGATTGATTGTTCAAATACATTTGTATTTATCTATTTATTGTTCAAATACATTTGTCTCCACCCTCCCGCCACCCCTTTCCCCCGCTCCCCTCCCGCACCTCCCTCAACCCTTTCCCACTTTGGCTTTGTCCATGGGTCCTTTATACCTGTTCAGGATTTTCGTTTTTTAAGAGCCCTGCTTCCTCCTCTCTCTCCTGCGCCCTGTGGGGTCTTGCTTGCGGTGGGTGCCCGTGGTCGAGGGCTGCTGTGACCTCTGCGACTTCTTTCATCACCTTTCCTGACTGTTGGGGGGCCAGGGTGCTCCTCCTGACCGGCAGCTTTTCGCTGAACTCTCATCATTGTGACCTCGGAGCCCCCTTTGGATTAATTTTAATTTGACGGCTGGGTCTGCCCCCCACAGCCGAGTTCAGCGGCTACTTTGAAAACACCGTCTTCTGAGCGGCTGGAGGGCAAGTGCTGCCTCCGTTTTCATATGTTAATGGCGCCTTTGGCGGGTAGGGATCCGCTGCTTGGAAAAAGTGGTGTGAGGTTATCAATTTGCATGGGACAGCTGTTACTGCTTTCTCTTCAGCTGAGGGAGCTGTGCAAGGAAAACGCCCTCGTGAAAGGACAGGTGGCTGCTCTTGAAGAGACCATAAACGTCCATGAGATGGAGGCAAAAGCCGGCCGAGAGACGATCATGCGCCTGGCGTCCGAAGTGAACACGGAGCAGAAAAAAGCTGCTTCCTGCGCTGAGCAGAGAGACCAGCGGAACCAGGTACAGCGTGTGAAGTGAGCGTGTGCGTCCGTGACCGTGTTTCCCGAGCCGAAACTGAAGCTGGGCGCAGGTGGGCGCACCTGCTTTACAGCCCGCGTCCCCGAGGCCGCTCTCCGCAGCGCGGCTGGGGCGGCGCGGGGCGCGGGGACCTCAATAGGCCATTCGATGTGTAGTTAGCAAACCAGAAAAGGAAGAAACGCGAAACACTGGAAGGCATAGTTTGTGGAGAATATTTCTGACTTTACACTATAAGGATTTAAAACATTAAAAAATAAGATTTTATTTACTTATTTTTAGAGAGAGGGGGACGGAGGAAGAGAGGGAAACATCAGTGTGTGGTTGCCTCTCCAACGCCCCCTACTGGGGACCTGGCCTGCAACCCACACCTGTGCCCTGCCTGGAATGGAACCGGTGACCCTTGGGTTCACAGACCAGCACTCAGTCCACTGAGCCACACCAGCCAGGGCAGGATTTTTAAAATTTAAGGATTTAGTTTTTTTTTGAACAAGATACAAAATTCTAAATGGACACAATGCTATATGGTGAAAAACCATTCCCATACCTACTTCCTCCAGCCACCCAGTTGTTCTCAGAGGCAATCTTTGTTAACAATTTCTTATTTACCTTTCTAGAAATGTTCCACATACATATATGTGTATACTTACTCTTCTTATTTATTTTTAACAAGGGCAACATACTCCACACACTAGCTCTTTCTCTTTTTTTAAAAAATGGTAATATATTACATGCTATCATAAACCAGGGTGCTATCAATAATCTTATTTCTTATGTGTGAGAATATATCAGTAAGACAAAATCTTAGAAGCAGACTTACTGGGTCAAGGAATATGGGTGCTGTAATTTTGAGTCATACTGCCAAAGGGAGCTGACCCTTAATTCTAAACTTTTATTTTTACAGTGAGTTGCTTGATCTTTTCTAATTAACTAGAACCTGTTTAAGCATGAGAATTAATACCGTATGTCTTCTAACACTATGTAACATTTTAATTATAATTTTAAAATTTTATGGCAAAGAAACCAATTCTGGGATTTATAATAATGACCAATTTCCAAAAGCAAAAGTGAGTTAGTGCAATCAGTTACTCAAATACAGAGGAGAGGATTAAATAGTGAAGAAGACAGAATTTTAAATTAGGTAATGACTAATGCTGAACAAGAGAGGCTTCATGAGGGGCCATGGTCCACTGGTGTCCCCCAGGCTGAGGGGGTCCTGGACTTGGTGGGGTACAGCACAGGGAGCCTTCTCCGCAGGGTCTCCTTTTGGGCCTTTCACGTCTGCAGCGACCACTGCCAAGCTGAGTGAGATGGGAGGTTGGAGTGTGAAATGACCCACAATGATGGTAGTAGTTTTCATCTCCTGCCCTCCCAAATCCCTGCATCAAAAATCCTTTTGTACCCTTGGATTTCTTCTCCTGACACATTAGCTTTGTGAAAAGAACAAAGGTTTTAACATCGTTACCAATAACTTGAGTCATTTCAAAACCCTTGTGTTGGTCAGCTTGGGTCGCCATACCAAATACCATAGACTGTGTGGCTTCAGCAACGGTTGCTTAGTTCTCGCAGTTCTGGAGGCTGGAAGTACCAGAGCAAGGTTCCTGGTGAGAGTCGGCTTCTCACTCTGCCCTCACATGGCAGACAGTGAGGAAACTCTCTGACGTGTCTTCTTACAACAGCACAGAGCCCAACATGAGGATGCCACCCTCACAACATCCTCTAAACCTAATTACCTCTCAAGGGCTCCATCTCCAAACACCATCACACCAGACATTAGGGCTTCAACATATGAATTTCAGGGGGACGCAGTTCAGTCCACAGAAATTCTCAATTACGTCAACATTTTCTCAGGAAAAAATTTAAATATATAGAAAAGGCTATGAAATATGAACACCCATCCACCAAGATGTAACAGTTGTGAGCATTTTGATATATTTGTTTTATTACTTTACACACATGTACGTGTATTTGGAGAACCACTTGAAAATAGGTTGTAGACGTTACATGTATTACATCTGGCTATTTCAGCATATGGATCCTGAGAGTATGGATATCACTTTCCATAGTAACAATACCATCTTCACACCTCGAAGTTAATAATAATGCCATGATATCATCTGTGGTGGTTTTCGAGCCCACAAGTATTTTGTCCTTTTTTTTTTTTTTTTTTTTTTGAGATGTGGAACTTAATTCCCCTGCCCTCATGTGTGGACTGGACTAAGTGACTCACATCTAATAAATAGAACATGTCACAAGGGATGGGATGTCACTTTTTGAGACTGGGTTATAAAAAGACTGTGGCTCATGTCTTAGATGCATTCTTTTGATTTTGAGTCATTGCTTTTGCCAGAAGCCAACTGCCATATGGTGAGGCCACTCTGGCAGCCCATTGTAAGGTCCATGTGGCCAGGATTTGAGGCCCATTGGCTACTATGTGAGTGAGCATGGAGCTTAATTATCCTTCAGTCGAGTCTTGAGATGACTGTAGGCCAGGTCAACAGCTTCACGTAACCTTATGAGAAACCTTGAGTCAGAAACACCCAGCTAAGTGATGCCCACATTCATGACCCCTAGGGACTGTGAGGTGATAGAAATTTGTTATATTAAGCCACTAAGTTTGGGGTAATTTGTAACATAGCAATGAATAGTCAATAATCATCTAAGAGTCCGCACTCAGATTTCATCGCTGGCTACAAGGATGTCTTTTATAGCTGTTTTCTTCCCCTAATTAGGATCCAGTCTGTTCATTCATTGCAGTTGTTGGTTATTTTTAGCGTTTCTAAAAAATAGCATTGAATTTTTGGAGAGAAGCGATGTGATTGTATCTTCATGATGTTGTTTAACTTGTTTCTCTATATCTTATGCACTTAAAGTTGCAGCTAGAGGCTGGATTGGATGCCAATTAAACCTTTTTGGCAAGAAAATTTCAATGGTAAAGTTGTATACTTCATGTTTTATCAATTGGAGGCAAATAATGTTAGAATGTTCCACTGTTGCTGACACTGTTTGATTGCCCATCTCTTTAGTGTAAAGGCATATTTTCTTTTTTTTAAAAAAGACTTTATTTATTTATTTTTAGAAAGAGGGGAAGGGAGGGAGAAAGAGAAGAAGGTAAACATCAATGTGTGCTTGCCTCTCACACACTATCATCCATTGATTCTTGTCTGGATTAACTTACATCAAGGTTGGTGGCAAAGTGATAATATCCTAATTTTACCATTCTACTTATTAGATGGCATTCTTCTGTAAAGAAACGGATTTTATTTTTTTCTTTCATTTTCTTTTCAATTCTATGGACACATGGATTTTTATTTATTACTGTGTTAAAATCAATTATTCTTCTTTTGGTGCTCAAAAGTCATCAAATTTTGCTAGCAGGAGCCCCTGCAAGATGATCTTTGAGACCTTGTAATCTGACTCCTTTCATCTTTCATTGCTTCCTTGCTTTCTGACAGAAGATGCTATCTAGGGTCACTGTAATTTTCAGACTACAGAACTAAAATTAGCCTATTCACTAAGGAGCTTTGGTTCCTTTTACTGGTGAATGGTGCTTAGAAACAAGATTTAGGCTTTAGGTATACTCATTGCTGTTGGAGATGTTATTGGTTTCAGTGGATGGAGCTAGAAATAAATTTTTAGTAATAAATTTACAATGGTATTTTAAAAAAATATGTTGTGGTGACATTGGTTAATGGAATTATACGGGTTCCAAGTATACATCTCCATGATACAGCCTCTGTATATTACATTGTGTGCCCACCACCCAAAGTCACATCTTCTGTCACCATATATTTGACCCCTTTATGCTTTACAACCCCCATCCTGCTTCCCTCTGGTGAGATAAGTCAGACAGAAAAAGTCAAGAACCATATGATTTCACTTATATGTGGGATAGAAAACTGAAAGCAACAAATGAACAAATAAGAAGAAAACAAACCAACCAAACAAAAACTCACAGTATTTTTTTAAAAATCCTGTCCCAAGGACGCTTATCATTTCTTCTAGAGAGAGAGGAAGGGGTGGGGAGTTAGACAGAGAGACAGTGTGTGGAGGAGAGAGAGAGAGAGAGATGGAGAGAGAAACATCAGTGTGAGAGAGAAATATTGATTAGTTGCCTTCTTGTATGTACCCTGACCAGGGATTGAATCCAAAGCCTGGGTATGTGCCCTAACCAGGAGTTGAACTTGCAACCTTTTGGTTGACAGTATGATGCTCCAACTAACTGAGCCACACTGGGCAGGGCCTCATGGTATTTTTAATAAAAAGTAATATTCTAGGGTTTTTTTTAAATATCTCTTTATTTTGTATCTTTTGGATCCCAACAATATTTACTCATTTGCTTTGTTGTATAATATACCTAAATTACACTTTTAACATGTTACCTATTAGTAAACCTTGTGACTGAAGTTTAAGGCTCTCACTCTTTTTGCATTAATACTCTCAGCAATCGTTAGTATGGTCAGCATTTATCAAGCACTTATTGGCATAGTCATTGTGTTATGTATTCAAACAGGTTATGTACTTTGCTCAAGTTCACACAGCAACTAAGGAGCAAAGCTGGGATTTGAACTCTGGTAGTTAAATTATTATGCTTTCATCAATAAGCCCCTTTATTTGTATATTCACAGTTATATTGCACCTACAAATCTGATGCCCAAAAATGATTTGTTAGTGGAACAACAATAGTGAGTAGCTAGTGAACGAATGACTTTAATCAATTATAAATAGTAGTTATTGGATGATCAGCCTTGAAAATTAGGAATTTAATATTTATCTATAAAAATGCATTTCTGAAGATGAGCACTAAGAAATGAAAATGTGTTAGAAGAGCACATTAAAAAAACAGAACTTGTTCCTTTCCTTACATAAGAGTCTTTACTTGTAAGTGACTGATGCAATGTTGTTCAGGCTTTGAAACACATTTGGTTTGGGATGAAGTTCCTGCCAACATAATAAAAATTGTAAAAAAAACATGTAGGCAATAA